CACACACACACACAGAGAGAGAGAGAGAGAGAGAGAGAGAGAGAGAGAGAGAGAGACATTTCTGATTACACTGTCATGACGATGCAATTTAGCACAATAGTCTGTTCAACAGTTTATCTCCATCTTCCTCTGGTGCTCCTCCTGAYGCCGTGACGTCAAAGTGGGAGCGATAGGTGCTCTGAGCCTGAACAGAGACCTTGTTTGGACTGTCGCTCCCTCTCACATGCCATCTGCTCATCCCTGAGCCCTGAACACTCGTTCCAGAGGAGACCCACCAGCATAGAGATGTGTTTGTCGTCACTGAGCTGGTTCCACACGCCTCTGTGCCTCTTCACTGTGCAATCTGGTGCATGGCACTGATCATCTCTCGCTTACAGGCCTAACAAAGTTCCATGTGTGGGGAGGAAAAGCCCTCTTCTGAGTGCCAAGAAGCTAAAGTTGTGTTTCAGATGTTAAAACAGAAAAAGGGATTATAAGAAAGGTAAAGAAAGCGTCAAAATGATTTCCATCCCTATTAGTTGCATTGAAACTATCCTGTCTTTTATTTTAAATGTCCTRATATGAGTAAACATCATCACAGTGTGCATTTTCATTTACTCCTTCCATCATCCCAGCTGCTGTTCACCTCAGTGTTTATGCATGTGAATGCCTGAAAGCCCACACAGGTCAGGATTATGATGACAGCCACTGGATGATGAGTTATAAATCACACAAGAACAACTTCCCTGAATTTTTGATCCAATTTCTAGAAAACTGTCTCTTCTTCCCTTAAGATGTTCTTACATAAACGTTAATGTTTCCCCTTATATTCTTTCCTCTGCATGAAACAACTGTTGAATATCAATTTTGTGAAAAAAGTTTGAGATGTATTTCAAATATGTCCAGTCTTTGTCAGGTTCTCATGTGACTCCAGCTATGCCGCATGTAAAATTCATAAAGAAACAAACACCAGCATTCTTCAGCCCACATTTTGATGTCGCTAGACTCATTCAGAAAGCAAAGCAGCGCAGAAACCAGAGCCGTTTTGTGCTTTCATTTGGCCTACCGCTGTGTCTGAACACATTATCGTGACAGAARAAACAGGTCGAAGGGAAATCTGTATCATTATAAAATCCTCCCCCAGCTGCTGCCGCCGCTGCAGTTGYATTCAAACATTTATTTCCTCAAACTTCAGTTTATCTATTTGTGGTTGAATTTAATGAAGATGATGAGAACTCTGAGTGCCTGACCTGAGCAGCGGAGTGGGCGAGGTGTAGGAGTTGTATTGTGCTCATTCATTATTCATGAGTTGGGTGGGCAGAGTGTAAGTGGCAGTGACAGACAGAAACTCAATTACTGATGTGTATCAACTCATCCAGGGTTCTTGACCTGATATTTGAAGGACTGAGACACTAATTGCTATACTGCACAAACAAGAATAATTTCCTGGGGAAAGTAATTGGATTATTGATGCCYGGAGGGGGGCCACGGCAATGGGGAAAAAGAGAGCCCTGATTTGACTTTACATGAGAGGTAGGTTCTCACCACTTTTGTCTCTTGCAAATTGACTTGAGTTTTTATATATTCATGAAGATCCTTTCACTTTTTAATCTCGCAATTTAATTGAATCAGATCCTCTGTTTGACCTTCTGTGCATGGTGCACATCAGATATGSCGTCCTATTGTTCAGTCTAAATAATCACTGAAGTGTTTCATTCTTTTTATGCTGGAGAAACAGTTTTATTTTTTTATGCACATGCCTTAAAAAGTAAATAGAAAGAAAACAATATGTTTGTGTATCTGATMCAGCAGTGGGATCAGAAAATGCTTCTCAGTGCTGTATTACAAAATCTTTAAGTCTGAGAAACATTTACTTTGCTTTAATGCTATAATTCCACTCTATATATCACTAAAGTTCACTAGATTTATAACTTCTTAATATTGTTTTACAACGTAACAGAGTGAAAATATCTTGGTTTTATTGTGAAAGCCTGCATATACAGTGGTAATAAGTATTGAACACGTCACCATTTTTCTCAGTAAATATATTACTAGAGGTGCTAATGACATGAAATTTTCACCAGATGTCGGTAACAACCCAAGTGATCCATACATACAAAGAAATCAACCCAAGTGTGTAAATGAGCTGCGTAAATTCCACCTGTTCGTATCCAGCTGCTCGTGCACGCGAGAGG